GGCTTTTTTCTTTATGGTTTATTGTGAAATTGGCCCGGCTAGAGAGCATTGGGTGATAAAACCTCGACAACCCCTGTTATTTCCATCATATCTTTCAGGAGGTGGTAGCCTGGGCTCAAGAAGAGGGCCCTCTGGAATTGGTTGAGGTTGAGGAAGGATGGGCGGTGGCGTAGGTAACTCAAGAACCTCCTGAGACGGGGGATTTTGGGGCAAGGCTTAGAGAGTCCAAACGCTGAAGTATTTCTGTGAGAATCCGTTCATGATGGTGAATAGCAGTAGCTTGATTGGTGAGCTCAAATAATATTCTCTCCATGTTTGGCAGGAGTGTGACCCCTAGTGGTTGGAGGAAGTACTGCCGGCTAAAATCTTACAGCACCTATGCATTTGCTATATATGTTATATCCTGAATGTTCCTTACTTACATCACATGTATTTTTTGTGCATGAGGAATCAACCAATCTAAAACTGATGTTTAGACTTCGTCTTGTAACACTGTTACAGCCCCACCGAGATGGTGATGACTGACTGGGTGCTGCTGCTGCTGTCTTGGTTCATCTGCACGAGATTATCCCTGCAATGATCTTCACTTTTTTATGCGTGTACTAGCATATGCGTACAGTACACGTACACGTACAGAAATGAAGTATACTTTTGGCTTTTTTCTTTATGGTTTATTGTGAAATTGGCCCTATTCATGACACTTAATGTTGTGATTCCTATATCTGTCATGACAACTCTTGGAGAGTTTAGCATAGTAATATACATGGTAATGCTAATGTGTTTGGTCTTGGCAGAATAGATCTGCTATACTGCTGCTGCTGCGGCAGAGCGAGTTCCAAGACTTGCTACTGCCAATACATCCACAGGTTTGCTGCTGTGAGCATGAAGCAGAAATACTGCTGCTGCACATATAACATATATGAAATACCCCCCAACAAAGCAGGAGACACAAAAATATGTCAATATATGCATGTCGCTGAGTATAAGAATATATACTGCTACTGCAGATATCCACACACATACTGTAGAAAGAATGAAGACAGGACTGAATAAAACAAAACACCCCCCAAACAAGCAGACCTATCGCCAAGACAAATGCTGCTGCTGCTCCAAAAAGCTGTGAACTGCCTGTATTACTATCTATGTTTGCCTGGGCTACCTTCTCATCCTGTTTTTTTTTTTTTTTTTGCCCCAATGACCATTTCTTGTCCAACGGTCATACATTTATTTTGCAATGTCTGCACTATTGCATTTTCATGGGCAGATGATAATTTTTGACTTTTCAGTGTGAGTTTAATATGTTTTTTGGCCCATTTTACCTTTCAGACATCATTAGCAATTACATATCACTTATAAATGGTTATATACAAAAGTAATAGTAGTTATTGGCTTTAAGTGTACAAACTTCCTCCATTTTGCTGTTTTTTTCTCATAGCCACAACATGTAGATATTAAACAAAGGTGTGTTTGTCCACTGCACTGTCTGTCGTCTCAGATGTCCCACTCAGAGTTCATGAGTGCGGTAGTTTCTTCTCAGTGAGGGATAAGCCATCAGGCATGAAGAGGTCTTTCTGAGACAGCACACTGAAACTACAGTAAATCAAAAAGATTGTCTTGCTCATAGGATTGGTTTTGTCAAGGTTTTGTCAAACTGAATGCACAAGAGAGATATAATTTCATTCTCCCTCTCTGTTAGTATATGTGTTTTTGCTTGTGTCATAGTGTCGCAGTTCAGAATTACACAATTGTGTAAATCGGTGTTTAAATATTTTACCAGATTGTTGTTATTTAGTCTGAAGGTCCAGACAGAAAACCTGTTTTTTTAATTCTTGCATTACATCATCTTTGGCACAATTTATTTTTTATTTTTTAAACCGACTGTTTAAAAGTAGGGTTGGACAGTATTACAGTATGCACAAAGAAAGAATTAAGTTTTTAAAAGTGCCAAAATAATAAAGTAAATATAGCACCTTTTTTGACAACTATGTTTAAATCTTTAAAATTGCTCAGATTACTGCCAGTATGAATGTTGCTTTAGGCTGATATTATATTAGTAGTAATTATTTTATTGTTTATTTTGTCATTTATTGTTTTATAATTTTTTTAAATATACAGGTGCATCTCAATAAATTAGAATGTCGTGGAAAAGTTCATTTATTTCAGTAATTCAACTCAAATTGTGAAACTCGTGTATTAAATAAATTCAATGCACACAGACTGAAGTAGTTTAAGTCTTTGGTTCTTTTAATTGTAATGATTTTGGCTCACATTTAACAAAAACCCACAAATTCACTATCTCAACAAATTAGAATACTTCATAAGACCAATAAAAAAAAAAACATTTTTAGTGAATTGTTGGCCTTCTGGAAAGTATGTTCATTTACTGTACATGTACTCAATACTTGGTAGGGGCTCCTTTTACTTTAATTACTGCCTCAATTCGGCATGGCATGGAGGTGATCAGTTTGTGGCACTGCTGAGGTGGTATGGAAGCCCAGGTTTCTTTGACAGTGGCCTTCAGCTCATCTGCATTTTTTGGTCTCGTGTTTCTCAGTTTCCTCTTGACAATACCCCATAGATTCTCTACGGGGTTCAGGTCTGGTGAGTTTGCTGGCCAATCAAGCACACCAACACCATGGTCATTTAACCAAATTTTGGTGCTTTTGGCAGTGTGGGCAGGTGCCAAATCCTGCTGGAAAATGAAATCAGCATCTTCAAAAAAACTGGTCAGCAGAAGGAAGCATGAAGTGCGCCAACATTTCTTGGTAAACGGGTGCAGTGACCTTGGTTTTCAAAAAACACAATGGACCAACAACAGCAGATGACATTGCACCCCAAATCATCACAGACTGTGGAAACTTAACACCGGACTTCAAGCAACTTGGGCTATGAACTTCTCCACCCTTCCTCCAGACTCTA